AATAAGGAGATCAAGTAAGCATGGTGTAATTGTAGGCTTTGTTGTTGCCGTTCTACTGACTTAGTGCAGAAGCATTTATCAATCTAAGGTTTGAAATTAACTTCAAAATGCAAAAAAAAAGAGAGTTTAACTTGGGGAAAAGGAGGCTGTAAGCACATTTTCTAACATAAAAGGAACGTTAGGATCTGAATCATATTGGGAAGATGGGTAAATGTCTAGAAAGAAATTGCCAGACATGATGTTGTGCAGCATGAAACTCTTCTGGAATTTATTTCAAAGGATCCATTTTCTGTAGCATTATTCTTTGAGAATTTTTTTTTTATGTCAGATGATTTACTTCCGTTTATAACATTAAATTACAATTTAACACTTTCCTAACATTAGCAGAAATATTATGACTAAAATTATGGTTTATAACATAGTAAGTTTAAGCAGTATTGCAAAGAAACATGAATTATTATCCTTGAACTGTTGTTTACTCCTAATTCCTTTCACTTGCCTTTAAATCAAATCCTTCAGATCTAACCTCTTTGTCTCCCATTCCCCTCAAATCATGGCAATATGTTCCAGCAGTCATCCCAGATGTGTGCAGTTCTCAGAAATTAAACTGTAGCATTTTGGATCGCTGCCATAAAAGAATGTCAGACTTTAGGCTGAAGATGCTTTATAGTGTTGAAAATAAAAACTTGGGAACTTCATGACTGGATCTTCCAATTTGGCCCGACACCTGAGTAAGTTGCCACATACTCAAACCATCTTGTTAATTTCTCTATTTGATTGTTATCTTTTTGGACCATGAATCTCTTGCTGTTACGAGCCTGTGTAATAATCAGCATAACACCAGCTGCATACCATTCTGCTCAGATAATGGGATGAATTTGATTTTTTTTTATCTATGCATCTTTATGTGAAAAGTGGAAAGATGGATCATAACCTGTATCTACCAGCAAAAAAAGCAACCCAAACCCTCAATAGTAGTATCCTGTTTATAACTTTACATGGCCCAGAGCATAGAACTCAAGATTGCAACAGTATAGTTTAAGGCAAGAAGAAACTAGATCTTGGCTGATGACAACTAAAGACCTGGCATGCCAAGCTCCAGCTCTGCTAAAAATCTGAGTATTGTTGCTTCTTGCTTTATAATGAGTGGGCAACATCTCTCCACCCATCCCTTCCCTCAATTTTGCTGGTTTCTGCTGCCTTTCAAAAAATCTGAGTTACTGTAAGATACTATCCTGTAGAATACATTTGCAGTAGGATCCCATCACTCTCCCAATTGCAGCATCTCCTTTACTGCTTCAATTTTTTATTTCAAAGAAAATGAAACTTCTGCCTATTTACCCATACTCAAAGGTTTCTTGCTCATGTATTGCCACAAAATCTATATTGCCTACCGGCAGGTGTCTCCCAGAAACCTGTGTGCCAAAAAAAGTCAGTTTTTTTTGATGGATGTCATTCAGCCGTTTGGAATGATCCTTGTGAGTGCTGATATTTGTCCTATTGTATTGTATGTTGTTGAATCCCATTGAAAACTGTAGCCAAAAAATAGAAAAAAGGAATATGTATGGCTGCCTCTGCAGGTGAGGGTTTAGTGTCTTTAACATTTGCATTTATAATAAAGTTAATAGACAATACTGTGTATGTATGTAGTATATTGGGCAGTATATTCCCTAACTCAATAGGTAAATTGTAAAACTCAGGCTAATACTTTCAAGCTATGCTGGATACTACAGCTTAGTTTGTTATGATGTATGATCAGAAGAGTAAGCTTTGAAGAACTGCTTGGAGTTTGCTGTTAACTGATAAATATTAGCCAATGCAGTTAAATATTTTATCCTACTCAAATTGAGTGCTCGTATTATCTGCCTCTTAGGGTTTCAGTGGCCGAGATGCAGCTGTTGGAATACCTTATCCTTGCTTTCTCCTAAATAGATGGGAAAAGATTCTATAGTTCTATACCTCATACATTAGCTGCTGTTAGTTCTCATCATTCAAAAAACAGCAGTAACTCGTCCTTCATTGTTGAAGGCATTTTCACTGTGTCAGTGGCACATCCATTATGTTAAGCAATTTGAAAATGTGCAGCATCTGAAAGTGATGCACAAGTTTATTGTTTTCATTATGTGGGCAGAGCTTCAGCTGCCAGAGTCAGCAGGGCTGTCAAAAGGACTATGTTGTTTTTTGGATTTTCTTAAAGATTTTTACTTTTAGCTTATAGTCTTTATAGTTTACAGGCTTTCAAAATATCCTGAAGTAGCAGACTCTTTTATGCTGTTGTACACTAGATTTGCTGTTGTACACTAGATTTGCTCTGTCGGCTTATACAGCACAGCTCAAACTCTGAAGAAATCTATGTTACTGCTAAAACCAATTAATTTTACATTTTACATACATCATTTGCTTCTTTACTGCAATGAAGCGATGGCACCTATGTACTTTATGATATTCTCCCTGCTCAGTGCCTGGAGTTTTCACTTGCTATGTCTGGAAATAGTTAACATATTAAAGACTGCTGTCACATTTAGCTGATATTAGACAAACCAGATATTTTCCCAGCTTTTCAGCAGAGGTAATTAATCTGTATGGAGTGCAATGTTGCTAGCTTTGGCACCTAAGCTCATTGAAGCATTTCTGCAGAGTCATGCATTATATTACAGTGACATACATTCAGGAAGGCATTTTGTTCTGAAACTAAAGATAGTTTTCCTCACAGGATTCAAGTAATGTTCTCAGTATTGATTTAAGAAGTGTGAGGGAATTGATGCACAGTGTTGTGAAAATTCCAACACATACTGTTTTTTTCCCCTTTATATTGCCTGGTACGTATAATGAAGCCACAATTTTCATCCTATTAAAAATTTCGAGATTTTACTAAGATAGAGGTAATATGTGCAACTATAAAAAGATACATGTAAATTATGCATACATGAATTTTTTATATATACTTATTTGAACTCTTTGAATCAGACAGTGCATTTTTGAGAAGACTTCCGGTTTTGACATTCCCTTTTCTGTTAAGAAAAGCTGAAGTCGGAAGTGTTCCGTGAACACACATTTTATGACATATGCTGGGCCCTGTATAATTGTACCCTTATTTCTTTGTCTTGATAACTCATTTATGAATGTTTCCCTGATGATTACTTTTCTTCATTACATCTTTTTGGACATTGAAAAGAAGATATAACTGGAGACTGACAATTCAAATATCATTAGGTCCAGATTCTGGCCAGTCTGAAGTCAACATATCTCGAAGCAAAAGCAGGAGCAGCCAGTAGTTAGTAGATCTATAGCAATCTGATCTACCTCTGAGCTAGACAATGTTTCAGAAGTTCCCAGTGCTCATGGCAGTTAGTATCAGATCTCCTCATCTCAACATGTCCTTTGCTCAGAAACCATGAGGAGCCTTTGTGCTGTTGCACTAAAGGAATTTAGGCATTCTCCTCCTTTCCCTTGTACCTCAGCTCTGTGTCACTGGTATGGCCACAGGCAGAAGCTGTGTTGGATGCAGAACCTTTCCAAAAGTCATTCCTTACTCCTTCATCATTCTTTCTGCTTGTTTCAGGGCTCTGGCATTATGGTTTGGGGCATGACTCCTCCTCTGTTCTTTGCTGCTTTGTCCATGTCTTTCTAGTCATACACTTACCTTCTACCCTGGCAATTGATTTTCTGCTATGATACACATAGCTGCAAAATTAAGCCTTTCTGCTGTTTTTTCCCTCAGCTACAAAACCAATTGGCAATATCATGCCATCAAAGAAGCAATATAATGCCAAGATTCTTGCAGTATTCTGTCAATCCAAACTACCCTCTACTGTGAAGTAAATGAGTGAGCAGCATCTACTTACTGCATCAGTCTGTGTGTGATTACCAAAGTTACTGCACTATTCTCTTTTCCCTTTAGGATGCCTGTGATTTCTGTTTCATGTAAGTATCCTCTAGGGAATGTTGCTGTTTAAACCACAGACTCCGATTTTTGCTTGGAAAAATGACAAGGGTATGTATAGGAGCTCTGGTTTTGATTCCCAAAGGGTATGGTTGTCATCATTAAGGCTGCTGATTATGTAGCCTTTCAGATTTCTATTCATAACCAAAGCATTCATTCTCCATTTGTCTGACATTTTCAGTGTTTGAGAGGAACATGGAAATTATAGAAAGTCTTGCAATTATTGTGTATCAAAATCAGATATGCAGTCTGAATTTAAAATGTATTGTATCACTGAGCAAATTATTTCTTAAATGTGAGATCCTTAATTAAAGTTTGAGCAAATCTGTCTGTTGGTGCTAAGGACCTGCTTCAGCTGTGGCTCTAGCTTTGATGTCTGGAAAGATAACCCCATTTACTTGGGGTGGTGCTTTGGAAAGTAGATGGTGAGTGCTACTCCAGCTCAGGAAGATTTGCATTTGCAACTAAACCACTGTGTTCTACAGGTGATCTACAAGTGATGGGTTATACTTGCTATGTCCAGCTGAGCCTGTAAGTTGTTTCTAACTGCAATACGAAAATGGAAAGAAAATTAAAAAGGTACCTGCATGCTACAAAAGTGACTGGAAGATATAGTAGTCAATGTGCATAAAAGCCTGATAAATTATTTGTTAAGTTGTACATACTGGTTTTAAACTAATATGGTGGTGGCTTTTACAGTCTTCCACACAGGAAATACAGTATTAGAGTAGCATAATGATATGTTGTACCTCAGAATGCTATGACTCTGCTGTGCTAGACTCATTGTGAACAGCTGGTGAGCAAAGACCCTACCCAAATTAATGTGTTATCTCAGTAAATAAGGGCAACAAAAATTAGGGCACATGAAATAATTTAAGAGAGTGCCATGTGATTCAAGCAAGTTGGCAAGCAACCAGCTAGATCTCTGTGTCAGAGTCAGGAACTGAATACTGGCTTTATTGTTCTACATTTTACTTCTTTAAATATTCAGTGTATCAGTAGTTAACAGGAGAAACAAAGCCTGCATCTTCTTATGGAGATGTTTTGATTTCTTTAGGTATAAGTAAAACACATTATAAATGGATTATGGCCAGGGACCTTTAAAGGTAAATGGTGCAATTCTTGTTAGGCACACAATATATTTGGTCTTGGGGTCACGAATCAGGATTTACTTAGAGAAGTACATGTCACAGATATTCAGAATTACCTCTAGAGATCTTGGATTGCTGAGCTATGGGGAGTCAAGTGAATAAGTTTGAAAGATGGGAAAAGCATATTTAATGCTGCACTTCTTTTTTGGTTTTCCTGAAGTCCATTTTAGATGGCATAAAGGATTCATGCACACTTAGTCCTTGTTAGCTCTAGTTTATTAAAGGTCTTCTGTTGACGGACAACAGTAAGTGATTTGTTCAAAGGCAACAGTACATATACAGTGAGATGGGGAGGATGCCAAGAGATACTGGTGGGTACCAGCAGCTGTTTCATACTGGACTTTTATATTAATTCTTCTTCAGATCTGCAACATTCCAGTTATGCAGAAAGCATATTTGCACGTTATTCATTAGGTCGACTCTTGGAGCCATTTCTTGTGGTGCTGAGTGATGACAACAACTTTAAATCAGAGTTTGTGGTTTTTTTTCCAGAGCAAATCACAAATGACTTTGAACAGCATAGAGGACCAGGATGTTTAATGGGAGCAGAAAAATGTCTTAAAGCTAGAACATGCAAGAGTGAAACAAAGCATTTGTAGCTTTCCTGATTTTTCATCAGACTTCTTTCACTCTTAGTTAAGCACTAGTACTTTAGCCAGTCTCGTTTCCTCGCATCCTTCACTTGCTAGTAATTAAACTTAGGCTACAGTCTTTGCAGGTGTGAATTGATAACATTGTAATGCAGCCAGTGGAACTAAGGCAGTATGTGCTTCCTGATGTTATGGCCTATTAAAACTGTAAAATTTCCACACTTTCCTGCCTCTTGACTGAAATGGCTGGTATTATGAGCCCCTCCTGCTAAAATCTATTTTTATGTATCTATCTCCACAGCAGAAGGAAGACTGAATATGAAGCATGCTGGATCTCAGAAAACGCATATAAAAATCACAATCTTCACAGTGCACTTAGTTTTACCTGTTCCGTAGAAATTAAAGCAAAACCCACCTGACTTACCAGGCTTTTTTAGTCCTGTGACAGGGATGCTGGGGAAAGGACAGAGAGAGTAAGACTTAACTTGGAACTCAAGGCAGGTAAGATTCCTGCAAATTGTGCACCTTAAGAACACTTCGGCTTTGTGCAGTTCTGCAACATTTGAGAAAACAGAATTTTGCAAATGAAGCCATATTTAGCATAGAAATAATAGCAATATTGATATGGAAGACTTGGAAAGTGAAAACAGGGATCTTTTCCTTTTACGTTTTTTTTTTGGCAAATTCACATCTGCTTTTCAAACCAACATGTTTCAAAACAACTTTGTTGTAGCAAAGGGAAGAAGAAAAATGAGTGAAAAAACGTTAGACTTAGACTGATAATTAGAGATTGTTTCTCATTATCAATAGGAAGTACAAGAATTCTGTTATCTCTGAGAAAAAAGAAATGCATTCCTGTGAGAGAACAAGCTCTGTCTTATTGGGATCATGTCTTAGTGGTAATAAAGAATGTTTTCTTTAATGAATTAAGACTGGAGAAAAGGGGTTTTGTGTAACATTTTTTGAAGTAATATAGCAAACCCCAATCTATTTATGTCAGAACACTTGAAATGACACCATTCTGAACTGTTAAGCAGGCTGTAGAGTCACACCATTTACTGCAAAAGCGCATGCTCCACAAGGTTAGGAGTGAAAAATTTCTTCTCAGTCTTAATTTTGGTTACACTAGTGATGTGCTGTGCGATCTTGGGAAAGTAATTTCAAAAAGTCATTTTAAAATGCTTTGCTTTTCCATGCCAAAGCTGAATTCATTATCACGGAGGCATGTAGTGAGCACTCCTACCATTGCCTACTACAATCTAGAGGGAAGTGTTGTGTGGGTCTTTTGTTTCTGTGATACCCAAAGTGGTCAAATATCCTCCATAAAGAAAAGCTTGTAACCAGTGATTAAACATGTGCAAATCCTACGTGTCATTATCTTTAAGAAAATTAAAAATTAGAGTTTCTCTCTTTCAGACGAAAGTTAAGGACATGACCACAAATTCTAGCTAGCATGGTACAAAGGACCCACATTAGAATGGCAAAGGTTTTGTATAAAACTTCAGTATTTAGGAAGTCACTTCTAAGATGAGCTATATTTCAAAAATAATTTTTCTAGGAAATAGAGTAACTATTTAAAACACAATAGCTTTACACATGATGAGGTATTTACTGGTCTTCAACATGACATTAAATACTGCTGTAGTGTTGGGCAAGTCCTTCCCAGCCATTCTTTGGTGGGCACTGGAAAGAATTCACTGTTTGAAAACCACCTCAGTAGAGAATGCTGGGGCACTACTCATTGCCAAAGCCCTATAATCAAATTGTGTCGCAAAGCCATGGGAAGCAATGTGTGTATGTGTTTGCTGAAGGATCTGAATGCTTTCTTTATGCTTTCCTAAAGAATGCACCTGTGTGTTGTCTGTGGAAGGTTTTCTGAGTGCCAATAGCAACTCATGACCCACTGCATTTGGAGTGACTATTATACCGTTCACCTAAACTTGTTGCTGTCTCCTGCTTTTCTAGATATTTTTTGTCTGTTGTATTGTTAAGTGGGGCCTTTGGATGCCAGGCATGCTGCTCTGGAGAGGTTTGGAAGAGCTGTAAACCCGGCTTCAGTTGGTGCCAAAAACTACATAATTCCTTATGATTTTTCACTTGCCTCTCATTGTACAGAAGCTTAATTCTATTCAGCTCCACTGCTTTTTGACAAAATGGTCTGTGGTAATTGTGAAATCATAGACAGGTATTTGAGGGCCAAAGCCCTATTTTGTTCATGTATCATCTATGAGTAGTGCTTTTTAGGCAGTGTGTTGTCATGGTTTGGATCTGGCAGAGCCAGTCTTCATTGTTACATAAAATGGCAGTGTTCTTACTACTTCCTGTGCTGCAGCACTCCTGATGCTCATGTGTTGTGCGTGTGCTGTACAGGGGATATCCAAAGGGCATTTTGAGCAGCCAAAATTACATTGCTTTGAAAAAATTCTCACTAGCAAATTTCACTTGAGTGAAGCCTGTTGAGATGATCCCATTTAGATCTCAGTAAATACCTTCTGGTGTTGTTTCCAGACTTGCATTTCGTCACTGAGCACACACTACTAGGTGGAAGCACCTTTCACATCCTGAGGTGAAACACTTAATTGTGCTTTTGCTAGTTTGAGAACAGATTATTGAACTCCTTTCCATTTAATGGGCTCCCAGACAGGAGCTGTGCAGAGATCACACTGAAGTCAAAATGACATTGCTGGAGGGTGTTATAGAAATGAAATCTACTCAAATGGACCCAGCTCCAGCGTGTCAAAACAGGCTACGAGAACCAACAAACCCAGACCTGATCCATGTCTGCAAAAACTCCCTGCTATTCCCAGTCTGGCATAGTAACAATGGCTTTGTTTGCAGCTCACCTGGCACTTCCAAACATATCCACCCTTACTCAGGCTTGTATTGATGCCAGATACAATGCTTGAACTGATGTCTTATGACTGTTACAATACGGTAACATTCCCCCTGTCATTCCCCTTGTAATTTGTAAAGATGGTTTAGGATGCTTTCTGGGATACAATTATTGTTGCATCTGGAGATTTAATCTTTAGAAGGAAAAGTGGCATTCTTCTCAGTTCAGCTAATCCTTAGCAAAGCAAAGATTTCAGTTGTTTATGAACAATGAGCTCTTCAGTTACCTTTGGTCTATATGTAGAGAACAAGATAGGTGATCCAATGAGCATAGCTATCCTATAGAAACTGGACATGCATCTTTTTACGTGATCATTCACATTAGTTCCCAAAAGACTCCAGACCTAAACTGGAGGATAAAACATCCTATAGCCTTTGCATCTCCTATTTTATGGAGTAAAAGATAGGTTTAGAATTGCTTTTGAAAATGTAAGGCTAGCAAGAACGGACCAGGTTCCTTCACTTACAGGTTAAAAATGTAGAATGTTTAGCAAAACATACAAGAAGCTACCTTTTAAAAGCGGGGTCTTTTTCCTCTCTGTGTGAATGAATTACTTGAGTGGCTGCAGGGGGCAAAGTTTGGAGAAAAACTTGGTTTAAGGTTGACTGATCACTGTGCAACATACACTTATGTAAATAAGGTGCTGCCTGAGCCTTTTACAGATTCCTTTAATTGGCTCTTTTGCCCTTTGGCTTGACTAACATTTCACCAACTTTAATGACCTGAATTAATCACATGCTACCCTTGGTCAGCTCCTGTGCTATGACTTATTTGGATGAGATTCTGGTTTTCAGTAGTACTATTAATAACAAAAACGTGTCTTATCATTGACAAGCATTGCCTTTTTTTTTTGCCAAACTTGAAACTAGCATTTGAGAAAACATTGCAGAATCTCTGGAAAAAACATTATTATTAAAAAAATCCATGATAGCTAGCCCAAATGCTGAAGATTTATAGGATATCTAAGGAAATAGATTTAAAATTACTTTGTATCTACTTCTTTTTTATTACTTGGATTAATAGAATACAGTGAAAGTGAAAAGTTAATGTTGCCTGTGACAATGCAGAAGCAATAATGCTACGTGCTGGGGCTAAAGCTACAGTATCCAGGGCCATTGTCAGCGTCTAGTGATTCAGCTGTACCAGTAGAGGGAGCTTATGCTTCTGGATACCTTCAGAAGTACGCTAGCAAGACTTCCTACAGTAACTTTGATGTTTGTCCTTTGCTTACTTCTCTTCTTTATTAAAGCATGTTAGAATAACATAAAGCAGAACTACCGGATACTTTTAGTTTTCTTTGCAGTGACTTTAATAACTGTCCTTGCAAGTCTCCTGGGCTACAGTCTGAACAACCTTTTCAAGACTGTAATTTTATCTTGGGTACTCCATAGCTGAAGCATTCCTTGGTAAAATAGCCATAGGTTGTGATGTTTCCAAACCTCTTTATGACTGCGTAAAATATCTACAAATAA